TATGCAAGATGATTTCCTATGTCAGGCAAAGATGATCATGCAAAAGAATGTAAACAATCATAAGCAGTCATACACAAATAATTGAGAACAACCAAGAGGTTTATAAAGATACATTTTGCAAAAGAATATTTATAAAGAACAATACAAATTTAGCCAACGAATATCATATTCAAGACTTTGGATATTTTCTCTTCGGAATCCGGTACTGGCAGAAGTATCACAAATATGAGGAAAACCTTAAATGAACCAGGTCACCAGCTGTTCCTTCTTGAGCTCGCCTGTTGAGAAAATCTACCTTGGCGCCCTTTCGGGTTTTCACCAAGGTTACCCCCACCCTTTTGTTGTTTTTGTTTTCCTTCTTTTTTTTTTGTTTTTGTCGTCGTTTTTTCGAGGCGCCCTTTCGGGTTTTCACCTAAAGAACAATGAAACATTTCGACCATGATCGACTCAGAAATATGAGTTAAAGATTTCTGGCATCAGTAAAATGTACTTCCCTTATGAGATTAGGCGAAGACATTACGGACATCACCTGCCAGTTGATTAGCAAATTTTCTAATAGAAATGCAGTAAGTGACGAAAGCCAGGACTTTGGGCTTTTGTAATGAGGTCCGGTGGGGTGTTTTTCAAGAAAGGTTAAGGCTTGAAAGCAGATTTGATACGAGGGGTGAAATAACTTGAGATTGCACTCTTTTAAAAACAATTCCGAAACTGAGGAAAATTTGCCCCAGTTTGATCAGATTTTCTCTCTTTGCATTTTTTCATTGCATTTTCTCACTTTTGCATTTTTCTTTGAGAAACTAATTTTGCCCCAGTGTAGGGTTTTTCTCTTCTTATCTCTCTTTTTAAACTAAATTTGCCACAGTGTGGGGTTTGCAATTCCCAAGGGTTATCAAACGAAATTTGTCAATTCTGATGGCTCAAAGGGGACAAGTAGAGATAAAATGTTTTTAGTGTAAAAGAATATGGCCTGACTTTCATTTCGCCATTTGCATGAATTTCTAAAGAAAATTTGCATGCTCAAATGAAAAACTTTTTGCACATATCTGAGTTGATGGGTTGAGGGAAAGCCCGTCCATCCATTTTCGCCAAAATAAGAGCTCCGTCAGGTAATACCTTTTGGACAATGAACGACCCTTGCCAATTTGGAGCGAACTTGCCTTTAGCTTCATCTTGCATTGACAAAATTCGCTTCAGTACCTTATCACCTTCTTCAAATGCCCGCCGATGGACTTTTTTGTTGTAAGCCCGGGCCACACGTTTTTTATAGCACTGACCATGACAGATAGCATTGAATCGCTTTTCATCTATCAAAGTCAATTGCTCATGGCGCTGCTTGATCCAATCGGCCTCCTCCAATTTAGCTTCCATAAGGATTCGTAGCGACGGAATTTCAACCTCAGCTGGTAATATAGCTTCCATCCATACATAAGTGAATATGGCGTTGCCCCAGTCGATGTCCGAATAGAAGTCCGGTACGCCATCAATGCATAAGGCAACTTTTCATGCCAATCGCGATGCTTTTCTGTCATTTTGCGGATAATTTTCTTCAGATTCTTATTTGCGGCTTCTACAGCTCCATTCATCTGAGGCCTATAAATGGCAGAGTTGCGGTGTTTGATTTTGAATTGCTCACATAGTCCATCTACCATGTCATTGTTCAGATTCTTGGCATTGTCCGTGATAAGCGTTTCGGGTACTCCAAAGCGACAGATGATGTGATCTCTCAAGAAATTGGCTACTAGCTTCTTCGTGACTTGTTTGAATGACTCCGCTTCAACCCGTTTGGTAAAGTACTCGATCGCCACCAATATAAATCGATGTCCATTTGAAGCAGGAGGATCGATTGTACCAATCACGTCCATACCCCACATTGAACAGGGTCATGGGGCAGTCATGCTATGCAGTTCAGTGGGTGGAGCACGGATAATGTCACCGTGCATTTGACATTTTATACATCTCCGGACAAAGTCTATACAATCATGCTCCATAGTAAGCCAGAAGTATCCGGTTCTCATGATTTTCTTCGCTAGCAAATGGCCATTCATGTGAGGTCCACAAACGCCACTATGCACTTCTTTCATCATATATTGAGCTTCATCTTCATCAATGCACCTTAAAAGGTTCGAATCCGAGGTTCTTTTGTACAATACTTCTCCATTTAAGAAAAATTTTGAAGCCATTCTACGCAGAAAACTCTTGTCTTTTGGATTAGCATGCAGAGGGTAAGATCTTGTTTTGAGAAACTCCTTAAGATCATTATACCAAGGAACATCGTCAGAGGACTTGTCTACAACCCAACAGTGAGCAGGCTTGTCTTGAAGTTGAATCGGAATTGGCTCGATCTTCAATTCATCAGAATATTGGATCATAGAAGCTAAGGTGGCCAAAGCATCGGCAAATGCGTTTCGGGCTCGTGGAAGATGTCTAAACTCCAAATTTCGAAATTGCTTGGCCAGAGTGAGCAGACTGCAATGGTAGGGCAGAATTTTTGAATCTTTGGTTATCCACTGCTTCAAGGTTTGGTGCACGAGCAAATCTGAATCACTGAAAGCTATCAACTCTTTGATTTTCATTTCCAAAGCCATTTTGAGACAAAAAATGCAGGCTTCATATTCAGCCATGTTGTTTATGCAGGCAAATTGCAATTTGGCAGCGGCAGGGTAATGCTTCCCTTCGGGTGAAACCAAAACGGTTCCAATTCCAACTCCGAGAGAATTCGAAGCTCCATCGAAGAAAAGCCTCCATTCAGGGCTTTGTTCACTCATATCATCTGTAGCGCCTACGAATAAAACTTTCTCATCAGGGAAATAGGTATGAAGTGGCTGATAATCATCATCCCTTGGATTTTCCGCCAAATGATCAGCTATAGCTTGCCCCTTGACCGCCTTTTGTGAAGTGAAAACAATGTCGAACTCTGATAGAATTATCTGCCATTTGGCCAGGCGTCCGGTTAACATCGGCTTCTCCAAAAGATACTTCAAAGGATCAGATCGGGAAATAAGATAAGTGGTATGGCTCAACAAGTAGTGTCTCAACTTTTGAGCCGCCCAGGCCAAGCACAACAGCTTTTCTCAATGAATGAATAATTAGCCTCGTACTGCGTGAACTTCTTGCTTAGATAGTAAATGGCTTGTTCTTTCCTTCCAGAGTCATCGTGCTGACCTAGAACACACCCTACTGCTCCATCGAGTACAGATAAATACATAATCAAAGGTCGGTCCGGTTTGGGCGGCACTAAGACTGGTGGATGCAATAAATAATCTTTAATCTTGTCAAAAGCCTGTTGGCACTCCTCATTCCAATACAACGGCACATTCCTTCTCAATAATTTGAACAACGGCTCGCATGTGACAGTTAGTTGGCCGATGAACCTCCCAATGAAATTGATCTTCCCTAAGAAGCTTTTCACGTCCTTCTGAGTTTTCGGCACTGGCATATCTCGAATTGTTTTGATTTTCGCCGGATCTATTTCTATGCCCTTCTTGCTAACAATGAATCCCAACAGTTTACCCACATGTGCTCCAAAGGCGCATTTCGCAGGATTTAACTTCAAATTGTACTTTCGCAATCTTTCGAATAACTTCTTCAAATCAACCAAATGGTCCTCTGCCCTCTTAGACTTGATTATGATGTCATCCACGTAGACCTCCATCTCCCGGTGGATCATATCATGAAATAGGGTTGTCATGGTCCTCTGATACGTTGCTCCAGCATTCTTTAAACCGAAAGGCATGACTCGGTAGCAAAAGGTACCCCAAGGGGTAATGAAAGCAGTCTTCTCCCTATCCTCTTCTGCTATCAAAATTTGGTGGTAGCCAGCAAAACAATCGCAAAAGGATTCAATCTCATGTCCGGCAGTATTGTCTAAGAGAATGTGAATATTTGGTAGAGGGAAATCATCTTTAGGACTGGCTTTATTAAGGTCTCTATAGTCAACACAAACTCTCACCTCTCCACTCTTTTTTGGAATAGGGACTGGATTTGAAAGCCAAATTGGATAATGGGAAACAATGATAATGTTGGTTTTGAGTTGTTTTTCAATTTGCTCTTTTATTTTGAGACTTATATCTGGTTTGAATTTTCTGGGTTTTTGTTTTACGGGTGGAAAAGAAGGGTCTGTGGGTAACCTATGCACTACCACATCAGTTGAAATGCCAGTCATATCATCATAAGACCACACAAATACATCTTGGAACATAGTCAAGAATTCAAGCATTTCCTTCTTCTGCCTCTCATTCAAATGAATACTAATTTGCACCTCCTTAACTTCATCCTCAATGCCAATGTTAACCTTTTCTGTTTCTTCCAGGTTTGGTTTTGGTTTTTCCTCATATTGTTCAAAGTCCTTTGCAAAAGAATCGAATACCTCCTCATTATCACTCTCGCTTTGGAGTTCGGATTCACAGACCTCCAAGTCGTGAGTGATATAGAGATTGCCATTATCGAATTTCAGAGTTGTGATATCCAAAGGGTCAAATAATTTTATTTTTGGCCATCTGAAAGAATTAACGAATATGGGATAATAAGCAAACAAACACACAACCAACAAATGAACAAGCAATATGAATATAAACAAGCGAATAAACAACACAACAATGACAAGAACAACTTGTGCATTTTCATAAAACCTTTGATTGAAAGCAAATGGAAATGAAAACTTAACAATATTTACATGCGCAAATGTTAGTCAAAAAGTAAAATTGTTTTCATTGGCTATTTACAGATGCAAAAGTATTTTCATGAATTCACATGAATGATAAACCCCTTTCAGTTTACCGAAACTCCTTCCGAACGGGCAGGGACTCGGCTATCCAATTGGGAATTGATCCTTCGGGGATGTCAGGAAATTCAGCTTCGCCTGGAACATTATCTTCAAATGTTGCCCCAACGAACAATTGGGCCAAACTTGCTTCAATTTCATCAACTGGGTTAATTTCTGACATGATCACCTCGGCTGGTCGTGGGAAAGTATAATGCAGTGGTGGAATGTCAAGAACCCCTTACCTTCCTTCTTTCTCCGCTCTCTTGCGTTCCTTCATCTCTCTGATGTCCTTGGCAGTCGGTCGGAAACCCAAACCAAATGAATCCTTTTTCTCCACAATCTCCACTGGCTTCAGAATTCCTTGCAAATCTCGTCCCAGCCCTTTGTCAAATTCATAGCCTCCACGGATCATTTCTTTGGCCATCATGACACTGGCCTTTGGTAAATCTCGCTCCTCGTTTGTGATCCAACTTACAGAGACGATATCAGCTGTGCTATGAGGAGTCATGGTGACATTGCGGCTTCCATCCTCTTTTGACCCAGAATCGGTGATTACAAGGCAATCATCTTCGGCAAATATAGTTATCAGCTTGTCATTTACTACAAATTTCAGCAACTGATGCAATGAAAACGGCACAGCTCCAGACTTATGAATCCACGGCCTTTCAAGCAAAATGTTGTAAACACTAGAAAAGTGCATGACTTGGCAGGTTATTTGAAATTGTGCGGGTCCCATCTCGACCACTAAGTCTACTTCTCCTATTGGCTCTTTTTGTGCTCCATCAAAACCTCGGACTACGGTCCCTGAAGGCCTCAACTTAATGTCTTGCAATCCTAGCTTCTCCAAGGTGCTCCAAGGACAGATATTAAGCGCAGATCCGTTGTCAATCAACACCTTCGACAGCATTTTTCCGTTGCACCTTACAACTATGTACAGGATCTTGTTATGTCCAATGCCCTCCGCCGGCAATTCCTCGTCAGAGAAAGTGATTTGCTTGATAAATAACACATTTCCAATTACATGTGAGAAATTATCAACTGAAATGTCCTTAGGAATTTGAGCTTTGGTCAACACCTCGATCAGCGCGTCCCTATGCATATCTGAAGAAAAGAGTAGATCCAACATGGATATCTGGGCAGGCGACTTGCTCAGCTTCTCAACTACATTGTACTCACTTCTCTGAAGTCTCTTAAGGAAATTCAAGGCTTCTTTCTCGGTGATTGTTGGTTTAACGGGCGGCTCGGAGTTATTTGCTTGAATCGGAATGGCAGCTTCAAATGGACTTGCAATCTTTCTCGATCTGGTAACCATTGACACTTCCTTCTTTGCAATTGACTTTTCCCCAATCTGTACGTCAGGTTCATCATAATTTCATGGCACTCGTTGCAGGCTTAAAACAGGCTCTTGCTTCGAAAATTCAATAACCACCGGCTCCAAAGCCTCACTCTCAGCTGGCGTGAGATCCAAAATAAAGGGCTTTTCGTCCTCTTCAAATGGTAATTCTATGACAAAGGGTTGGTCTGTGACCCCAAACACTTCAGCTTCCCTTGCCAATTCTCTGACTGGTTCCACATACTCCGTATCATCCAGAATAACCCCAATGATATTGGCATGTTCCGGTAAAGGGTTCCTATTTACGTTCGGCCCTTGCGCCTCCCTTTTCCGGATTACAATCTCCCCGGCTTCAACCATATCTTGGATTTTATGCTTAAGCGCCTTGCAATCAAAGGTGGCATGTCCGGGGGCCCCAGAATGATAAGCACAGACAGCTTGTGGATTATACCACGCGCGCATGCCATATGGATAGGTAGGAGGGGGTACTGTACCAATTTTCCCGGCGACCTTCAACTGGTCATACAATTGGTCCAGAGGCCTGCCTAAATTGGTGAATGTACGGCTAGGTGGTCGGTTGTAAGGTTCAGGAGGTTGAGGATGGTTGTAAACAGGTCTATTTGATGGAGGAAATTTTGGGTTATATGGAGGGCGAGGTCGGTTTTTGATGAGAACATGAAGATTTGCATGGATTCCTTTCATTTTACAAGTCTTCACATTCTAATGATGGTTGATGGTGCAATCGGGCTCGAGAATCATTGAAGATCCAAATTTTCCAAATTTTAATTGGCTTCCAAATCTTGATTGGTATCTTGATTGATATCTTGATTGATTTCCAAATTGAGAGTTAAGTAAGTTGTTTGAATTAGGGAATAAATGCTAAGGTCATGTTGACCATAGTTAAGCCAATTTGAATTAGTTAGTTTCCTATTCTAGTTGAATTAGAGTTTTAGGAAAGCAGTTAATTGCTTTCAAATTTGTTTAGGAAGTTGTGTCAAGTTTAGAAGTCAAGTCAAATAAGGAAACTTGTATTGTTTCCAATTTAGATTAGGGTTTTGAGTCTTGCAAGGCTATAAATAGCCAACTTTATTTAACTATTGAGAAAGACAATTATGAGATGAATAAAAATTGAGAGTTTTCTCTTTCTTGTTCCTTTGGGAGCGTTCCTTGATACAAAGTGAGTTGTATCTCCTTTGTTCAAGTTTCGGCTTATCAATTCAAGACCATGTTGAATTGTGGCGCCTTCTACACTTGCCTGAGGTTCACTAATTCGTTTGGTTACGGGTTGAGATAATATCAACAAGTTCGTAGTCACGGGGATTAGAGGGGTCGTAAGGTTTCCCCATCTTTGTATCCATAACCTGGTCAAGATAGATCCTTCCGCTGCCTGATCGATTCGGTTCTTCAAGACAAGTTCTTGTTGGGTCGAGTTCGTATCATCTGATGAGAACATGAAGATTTGCATGGATTCCTTTCATTTTACAAGTCTTCACATTCTAATGATGGTTGATGGTGCAATCGGGCTCGAGAATCATTGAAGATCCAAATTTTCCAAATTTTAATTGGCTTCCAAATCTTGATTGGTATCTTGATTGATATCTTGATTGATTTCCAAATTGAGAGTTAAGTAAGTTGTTTGAATTAGGGAATAAATGCTAAGGTCATGTTGACCATAGTTAAGCCAATTTGAATTAGTTAGTTTCCTATTCTAGTTGAATTAGAGTTTTAGGAAAGCAGTTAATTGCTTTCAAATTTGTTTAGGAAGTTGTGTCAAGTTTAGAAGTCAAGTCAAATAAGGAAACTTGTATTGTTTCCAATTTAGATTAGGGTTTTGAGTCTTGCAAGGCTATAAATAGCCAACTTTATTTAACTATTGAGAAAGACAATTATGAGATGAATAAAAATTGAGAGTTTTCTCTTTCTTGTTCGTTTGGGAGCGTTCCTTGATACAAAGTGAGTTGTATCTCCTTTGTTCAAGTTTCGGCTTATCAATTCAAGACCATGTTGAATTGTGGCGCCTTCTACACTTGCCTGAGGTTCACTAATTCGTTTGGTTACGGGTTGAGATAATATCAACAAGTTCGTAGTCACGGGGATTAGAGGGGTCGTAAGGTTTCCCCATCTTTGTATCCATAACCTGGTCAAGATAGATCCTTCCGCTGCCTGATCGATTCGGTTCTTCAAGACAAGTTCTTGTTGGGTCGAGTTCGTATCATCTGATGAGAACATGAAGATTTGCATGGATTCCTTTCATTTTACAAGTCTTCACATTCTAATGATGGTTGATGGTACAATCGGGCTCGAGAATCATTGAACATCCAAATTTTCCAAATTTTAATTGGCTTCCAAATCTTGATTGGTATCTTGATTGATATCTTGATTGATTTCCAAATTGAGAGTTAAGTAAGTTGTTTGAATTAGGGAATAAATGCTACGGTCATGTTGACCATAGTTAAGCCAATTTGAATTAGTTAGTTTCCTATTCTAGTTGAATTAGAGTTTTAGGAAAGCAGTTAATTGCTTCCAAATTTGTTTAGGAAGTTGTGTCAAGTTTAGAAGTCAAGTCAAATAAGGAAACTTGTATTGTTTCCAATTTAGATTAGGGTTTTGAGTCTTGCAAGGCTATAAATAGCCAACTTTATTTAACTATTGAGAAAGACAATTATGAGATGAATAAAAATTGAGAGTTTTCTCTTTCTTGTTCCTTTGGGAGCGTTCCTTGATACAAAGTGAGTTGTATCTCCTTTGTTCAAGTTTCGGCTTATCAATTCAAGACCATGTTGAATTGTGGCGTCTTCTACACTTGCCTGAGGTTCACTAATTCGTTTGGTTACGGGTTGAGATAATATCAACAAGTTCGTAGTCACGGGGATTAGAGGGGTCGTAAGGTTTCCCCATCTTTGTATCCATAACCTGGTCAAGATAGATCCTTCCGCTGCCTGATCGATTCGGTTCTTCAAGACAGGTTCTTGTTGGGTCGAGTTCGTATCATCTGGTATCAGAGTTTCGGCTCTTGATTCAGGTTAATATCCTTTTTCTTTTCTTATTTGTCTATTTTTTTTTCTATCGAAACCCTAGCTGCCTTTCAAATTTAAAAGAAAAAATTTTTTTTGATTCTTGTTTTTTTTTTTATTATTTTATCACTTGAGTCTAACCTACCCCCTTGATTGATCGAGGTTGGAATTTCTTGGTGTGATTACGTTCTTGAAAACAGGTTTTTCAAGGGTTTAACTCCCATTAAATTTCTTCCAAGTGAAGTCCTAACCTTGCATCGAGTCGTCAAAAGCAAAAAAAAAAATAAATAAAAATACTGTTCACAGCGGTACTGTTCATCGGAACTGTTCACACTGTAGCAGTACTGTTCATCGCCGCACTGTAGCAGTACTGTTCATCGTACTGTAGCAGTACTATTCATCCGAAAATTATTATTTTTTTTTTCTCTTTTTTTCCCATACCTTGTGGTTGTTTCTTGTTGTTCTTGCTTCTTGTAGTTGGCTTGATAATTTCTTGAAGTTCTTGGATTACATATAACATTCTCCGAGTTACTCCTTTGTAAACAAGCACTCGATTTGAGGACAAATCGTCTTTCAAGAGGAGGGGAATGATGAGAACATGAAGATTTGCATGGATTCCTTTCATTTTACAAGTCTGCACATTCTAATGATGGTTGATGGTGCAATCGGGCTCGAGAATCATTGAAGATCCAAATTTTTCAAATTTTAATTGGCTTCCAAATCTTGATTGGTATCTTGATTGATTTCCAAATTGAGAGTTAAGTAAGTTGTTTGAATTAGGGAATAAAGGCTAAGGTCATGTTGACCATAGTTAAGCCAATTTGAATTAGTTAGTTTCCTATTCTAGTTGAATTAGAGTTTTAGGAAAGCAGTTAATTGCTTCCAAATTTGTTTAGGAAGTTGTGTCAAGTTTAGAAGTCAAGTCAAATAAGGAAACTTGTATTGTTTCCAATTTAGATTAGGGTTTTGAGTCTTGCAAGGCTATAAATAGCCAACTTTATTTAACTATTGAGAAAGACAATTATGAGATGAATAAAAAATGAGAGTTTTCTCTTTCTTGTTCCTTTGGGAGCGTTCCTTGATACAAAGTGAGTTGTATCTCCTTTGTTCAAGTTTCGGCTTATCAATTCAAGACCATGTTGAATTGTGGCGCCTTCTACACTTTCCTGAGGTTCACTAATTCGTTTGGTTACGGGTTGAGATAATATCAACAAGTTCGTAGTCACGGGGATTAGAGGGGTCGTAAGGTTTCCCCATCTTTGTATCCATAACCTGGTCAAGATAGATCCTTCCGCTGCCTGATCGATTCGGTTCTTCAAGACAGGTTCTTGTTGGGTCGAGTTCGTATCAGTTTTGGGGTGGATTTGGTTGGGAAATTTGAAAAGGGGCTGAAGGTGGGTTAGGATAGCTTGGGCGAGGTCGAGGGTGGTGGATGTTGGTAGTATATACAGGATGCGGATTTGAGTAGTAAGGGTAATGGGGTTGGTAGATTGGGCTGTGTTGGTATCGGGGTCTGAGTGAAGGGTTTTGGTTCTAAATAAAGGTTGCATCCCCCTCTTTCTTTTTGAATGGCGGCTTTTTCACATTGCTTCCTTGACCTTGTAAAGCATCCAACTGGGATTTGAGAGCAGAGACATTAACAATTTTTCCGGCTCTCACAAAGTCATCAAACTCTTCCAATTTATTCACAATTGCAGCAAAAGAACAACCAGTCATACGGAAAATTTCTTCGAAATATGGAGGATCATGCGCCTTTATGAATGTGCGAATAATTTCATCCTCAGTCATCGGTGGCTCCACCTTCGCAGCTATCTTTCTCCATCTTTTGCCATATGTCTTATGATCTTCAGATGGTCGCCTTTTCGTTCCTTCCAGAGTAGTCCGGGTTGGCGCTAGCTCACAGTTATACTCATATTGTCTAATGAAGGCATTGGACAGATCGAACCAGGTTTTCACTTCCTCTGGCTTTAGGTTGGAATACCAATCGAGAGCATCCCCTTCTAAACTTTCTGGAAATAATCTCAATGGCAAATTCTCGTCATCCACTGGCTTGCCCAACTTGTTAGCAAACAAGCGCAAGTGTGTCTTAGGGTTACCCGTTCCATCATATTTGTTGAACTTAGGGGTCTTGAACCCCACCGGCAGTTGCACGTTCGGAAACAGGCACAAATCATCATAATCCAACACCCCTTGTTTGCTTAAACCTTGGCTTTTCCGGATGAATTCATCAAAACGATCCAAGCGTTTAAGTAACTTCATATCAATCTGGGCAGACGACTCTCCCATTTCTGGCTTATTTTGAAAAGTGTGCTCCGGCACCACGGGCTCCGCGGTAGTCTGATAAAAAACTGGTGGGTTCAAATGCATAGTCGGATCGCCTTGAGGCTGAAATCCTTGACCATAAGGAGGGTAGAAAGGAGGATTTTGAGTAAAAGCATATTGCGGGTT